AAAAAAAAAAGTGTGCGGTTCATTTGTACAAAAGTATCCAGTCAGAGGTCACTCCGTGTACTCAACATGGCCGTGCGATCGATATTCTAAAAATAGTTTTGACACTGGAAACTCTTGGAGCTCGACTTTTCCCGCATTTTTCAAAACGTATTAATCGATTTTTTAAACCGTTCAATATTCTTCCGTTATTCTCTCTACTATCCATATATTATTTAATAACGAGCATCTTTGGTAATTAACAACTTTGTCTCTTTACTCGTTGTGGAATTCTTTTTTTTTTGTGAAACTTATATATATACATTTTATAATCACGTTGTAGATAATGAGAACAACACGAATTAAACAAGCATAACGATAAGTACGCGTGTAACAGCGTTCACCCTGTCGTAATTGATGTTATTCGAAAAGTGGCCGCGCGTGACCTATGAGATTTGCTAATCGAATTCGTTTGCTCGTCAAATGTTGCTGGGGTTAGTGGACAGAATATTTTAGGGTCGAAGCGTTACTAAAACCGGACGAGCGTAGGGGTCCGTTTATTTGGACGTTTAACGATCGTAGACAAGTCTCGATATTTTATCATTAAACTCAAATTGGAAATCCTGCTAATCTCTGCCCCTCCCTAATTAGCGACGAATATTAAATATTTCCTCGCGAAAAATAAATCGTCTCGAAGAAGATTTGGACAGAAGGTTTTCGAGCATGGACGCGCCAAATGGACGAGGAATGGGAATTCTAGCGGAAATAATGAGAAACGGATAGGATGGTGGAGGGTGAAAGGGTTAATGCAATTTCTTCCTTCTGTATTAATAGCGGTTGCGACGCGAATTTATGGTTTCGTTTTGCCCGGATACGCCTCTATACCGTGGCAATCGATATTATATGGGACATTTTGCGTCAGCCGCATCTGTCACTCGCGGCGCGTTGCAAGGTTCGGCCACCGCAAGCGGTATCGTCACGTCGCTCCAACAGAAATCGAAACGATCGCGATCGGACGAGTCTGAAGTGAGCGAGTCGAGTAGTCGCTCGATTCGAGATCTCGAAAATATTCGAGATTGAAAGTTTCTCGAATTCTCGAAGAATTGAAATTTAACGGATTTAACGATTTTCAATTTTTCGTCTCGCTATGGGAAATGTTTCGATACTTCTTTCTTTCCCGCTCGTCTAGATTTTCTTTCTGAAATTACTTAAAAATAGAATATCTTCAAATAGCGTTATCGATTTCCGTTCCCTTGCATCGTTGGGAAAATGTGGCCGTTGCTTTATTAAATATCAATAAAGGAGGATTTCATTGTCAAAACAATTTAGTGAGAATCCTCCGCGGCGCGGGTTTTCATCAAGTTTGTATGAATCCATTGCAAACTAATTGACATCGACCTCTCTCTCGTTTTTCGCCTCCTCGGTAATGGAAAATATTGTAAATCGGATATTAAACGTTTCCCCTTCCCCCCTTAGAAATATCCTTTCTCGTTGTACCGAGATTTCATTTTTCTCCCGAAATGAAAAATTCTAATTCGATCCGAAGCTTGGCCGCCGATCGTTTCGTTCGACGAAAAGAAATTTTGCAAACGAAAATTGTTGTTGTTCCATTTCTGCGATTAAAAATTGACAAGGGCAAATTATCCGTAACAGTTATTGAAATGTCAATAGTTACGTTCCGCGTAGCGAGGTTAAAAACGATTCGCTATCTACTTATTTCATTATAAACCGTAATGTCCGCATCGGCCGATCAATGTTTCATGCGAAAACCACCATCGTGCTTCAGCGCTTCGATTATTTATGAACACTTTGTGTCTTTGTCGACGTACGTGTACCTACCGTCTATCTATCCGTAGGTTGCTGAACTACCCTCGCTTTTCCTCCTTTTTCCCCCCTTTCTTTTCTTTTTCTCCTTTTTTTCCTTTTTCCTTTTTTTTCTTTTTCTAATTTCCATAACTTCTTCCCCGTGTTTTTTTCCTCTTATCTCGTGCACGGAGAAATTTTTTGCCATTTATCGAGCACCTCGCTTTTAATCCCGAGAAACGATACGATTACGTTTCTTCTTCGTTCACTTGGGATAGTTCGAGTTATAATTATTTTTTTCATTGTTTCTTTTTTTTTCTCTCTTTTCTTTTCGTTCAATATCTCTTATTATTCGCGATGATGAACGAATTATTTATGGAATACCGGTGGAAGATAACGAGCGAAGATTATCCGGCGTTAAATTATCCGGCAACCCTGGAAAGGATGAAGTAGATACTTAACTCATCCGTTGCGTGATACATGGCACTGCTCACGGAGACGAATGCTTTACCTAAACGAACTTTTAACAGGACAATAAATCCTAAATTGCGTTTCTCTCTTCGAGCGGAGGAAGAGTTCCAGTTTGGGGAGAGTTTAACCCCGTGCTACGTGTATGTACGTGAATGTACAGGGTGATCTTCTGTTCGCCGACCGATTCTGCTCGATCGTTCGAAAATTCTAAAAATATTCATTCTTCTGATATTTATCCAGGCATATAGAATATACGGATTAAACGTATTTACGCAACAAACTTTTATTCGAACATCTTTACAAAAGCACAGAATGTAACAGATGTACATTTTTGATAAACAATTGATTAAAAAATCGTAGAAGAATAAAATCACCTCCATTCTTATTTACTTTATTATCATTCAATTTTCCACGATCTTCGAAACAACTTCTCCGTACTTTCCGCACACCCTGTATATATATACACACACACAGTATATAGTTTTTCCAAGGCTTGGAAGGAAGGGGCGAGAGACGGGGCTAGACGATGCCGAGGAACGGATACAGATTGCTCTTGTTACCCGCGTAGTTAGCAGCTCGTTGGCGGTTGTTTGGCAAAGTTTCTACGAGACTCCCCCTTCTTTCGTCTCCCCCCACGATTCAGTGGGTCCTCCTAGTCGTTAATAGAGTCATTTTTCCGAGCTGCCCGCGGCCGACCCCACCACACGCGCTCAACGCGTCCTCCACCGCGTTCGAGATTAGCCAATTACAATTGAATTATCGCCCCCCACCACCACAGTAAACCGGCCCGCGTAATTTATCCGCTCGGCGAGAGTTGGCGAGGAGAAATGATTAAGCTCGTAACGACGTTGCGTCCGTCCCGGGAACCGAGAA